ACCGAGGACCTATCCACGTCATTGTTTACCCAGAATGCTTTGTGTGTAAATAAAATGGCTCTGTCCGTGTTAAAATATATTTTTAAAAATGTAAAAACTAAACAGCCTACAGTATTTTTAAAGTCTTTATTTTACAGTTAAAAATATGTTTATCAAATAAAGTCTAATGTTACAACTAATCGGGGATCCCTTTAATGATTAGTCTTTCCGAAACCGATCCGATAGCTTTATTTTTTTATTTGTTTCCAAGTGACAGGTTGGTAGTGTTAAAGCGAGCCCTGCTGTTCCCACCACGAGAAACAACCAGTTTGCAGGTTTTGCAAAATGCAGTTTCAGCATCATTGTTTTCCATTGAAAAGTGTTCCCACACTGTGGACATGGTTGCATACTTGTGTCTCTTGACTTCTTAACAGCAGTTTTAATCATGACGATTCTGAAAACTGGATCAGCCCAATCACGACTAAATCTGACTGTACCCGATTTTCAAAAAAATGACCATATCTGCCCCCCGATATTGAGTATATGATCGGGGCATCCCTTAAGAAAAGCTCTCAATTACTGAAAGCATCACAAGCAATGAATATCAAACTTTTTTTTCTTGCAGCCTTTAAATCAATAGTTTAAATTGTAACGTTAAGCTTTAAGTGTATGGAATCTTACCTTTTCCAAAACAGGTGCTACAAGTTTAATTTATGATAATTTCAGATCACTGCAGTAAAAACAGAAAAAAAAAATACTTAAAAGGTAAGTAAACCCTCGATTATTGACATGTTGCACTGCAAACAGAAACAAGCCTACTTTTGTTTATTTAGCTTTTTTCACCGTTTGCTTGTAATGTTGACTAAACTTTTTAAACATGGGAACAAGCTCACTTTCTCTCTCCTTCACCAGTTTGCTGGAATAAAAAAACTCAACAGTTTGGACAAACGTAAACTTAAAATCCAAGTCAGGCTTCATTAAACGTTATCAAAATGTGGTTTGGATTGTTTTCGTGCAAATATTCAGGGACGCCTATAAAAAGGTACCCAGACAGGTGGATAGATGGGGGCTGTTGATAATTTTGGTCATGACATCAGCCATAACAGCTGTTTCAAAATGCTGAGTCACATGTTGGCTATTTGAGAATACGCTGCAATTTGAGAATAAAACAATCACCTTTTGAAATAACTAAATAAGGAAGACTACTCAGTAAAACTTGTCCCCTTTTTCAAACTTTATTAATAGAACCATGTTGCAAAATGAGAACATTGGATATTTGCAAAGTATTTTATTCTGCTTGTCACTGAGGGAGACTTGTATTGTCTTTGAATATTCAATCTAATTTTGTTAAGAGGGAAAGTTGTTATAATTTGAAAGGATTTGAAATGTTTGTAAAACATAAAATTCGAATAAACTTGAAGGATAGATGAACCTCAGTTCAAGGTTTAAGATTGTGGAATAACTTGGACAGCGATTATAAAAATGATGACTCGATTAATTCGTTTGGTAGAATGACAAAAGTTAAATAGTTGAAAAGATTTGAAACTATATAATATATATTCTACAAACTGATGTTTGAGTGGTTAAAGTTTTTGTTATGCTGATGAGTGTGTGAAATTATTATATATGTACATGCGTGTATGTATTATTATTTTGTTAAACAAGGGCAGATAAGATTTTTTTCCTGTTTCTTTTCATTTTATGAGATTTGTTTCTTTTTTGTTGTATTGAAATTTTTGTTTTTAATCAAAATGAATACACTATTAAACTAAACTAACTTGCTTTTAAGTACTAATGTTTGTGTTTTGATGTTTGAGGTTCTAATAATCAAATAGTTAGAAAATAATCAAAGGCTCAGGACTCAGGAAGATAAAACAGTCTGGACAAGAAGGTCTAGGTGGGGGGACAGCCATTGCCCACCTTGGCTGCGGCCCTGCAAATATGACCGTTCTGCAATCCTATCACCATAACTGATATAAGTGCAAGCTATTTAAAATTATCAGCTGTTTTACCCCTACAAAGCTACTAGAGTTTTGAGGGTGCATACTCACCGAGACACCGGGCTGGTGCTGGAGGACCTGCGGGTGGCATACGGGCTGATGGATCGCCTCCTGGTGTAAGGGCTGCTGTCCCTCTCGAAGCTGGAGGACCTGTGTCTGCTGCCGTACGGGCTGTCTGATCTCTGCCTGCTGCGGCGCGGCGTGTCCCCGGGGCTCTGCTGGGCCACCCTGCGCCTGGAGTAGCCGTCGTCRACGTGCTGCTGCCCGTAGCCCTGTGGACTCTCGCTGCCGGCCTTCCTTCTGGGGCTGGGCGTCAGGGCGGAGCCGGCGCCTTTCCTGCGGGGGCTCCCCCTGTTCGACGGCTTGCCCTTGGGGCTCGACTTGTGGCTCTTGGAGGACTTGCGGTGAGTCCTGTCTGTCCGGCTCCTATGGGAGGAGCCGCGGCTCCCGTCCCCACGGGCTTCTCTCTTCTGCTGCCGGTCTTTGTGGGGCTTCCCTGAGCGGCTGCTCTCCTTGCTGCGGGATGAAGACGTGGAGGAAGTGGCGCTGCCGACGCTCGCCGCTGTCTGTGCGTTCGAGAGCATCAGCTCCCGCTTGGCGTCAGCCGGCTGCCTGGACGAGGAGCCAGAAGCGGCCGGCTTCTCTTTGCTCTTGGCGGACCTGCCCTTCTCGCGGTCTTTGCTGCTCTTCTTCTTGAGTCCATGCTCGCCGTTCCCAGCGTCTCTAACTTTGTTGGGGTCCTTGGACTTCTTCCGAGGCTGTCGGTGCTCTTTGTTTACGCCGCCGTCCACCTCCCTGCTTACGTCCCCCCTGTCGTAGTCCGGCGAGGGGTCCAAGCGGTCTACAGCCCCCCTCTCAGACGGCCTGGAGGTCGGGGGCTCCGAGAAGGTGTCCGAGTCGGAGCTGATGTCGTCGTACTCCACCAGAGGTTTCACCGTGTTGACGCCAGGCGGCACCGTGTCACCGAATGTAAACTCCTCGGTTCCCGCCGACGAATCCCGAATAAATTTGTTCGATTTGTGCCGCTTGCGCTTCGAAGCGGAGGACATTAGAGACTTTAGCTGCACTTTACCGTCTTTGCTCGTCATGTCTCCCTCGGAGGGGCGAAGGCCTTGGGTTTGATGTGACACACCGCCGCTAGAGTCCGTCTTCCTCTTGGTCCCATGGTTTCGGTCCGACCCAGGCATACCTTACGCCGGCGTCGGTGCCTCCTCTACCGCGATCCGGACAGCTCATTAACGGGAAACCGGGCGATTACTCCAAATGTCAAAACAAAAAATGTTTACCAAGCAGATCTGAACGAAAAACAATAATAATAAACACAAAACAGACAAGGCCGCTCACATATCCAGTCCTGCTTTAGCGCCAATTCATTCCATTAGATCCTCGACGTAGTTCGTCAAAAACAGGAAAAATAAAATGTCTGTTCCCGTGCCGTGAAGTTTGATCTCGGAGTTCGTCAGTGAAGGAAAAAGGTCCAAAGCAAACACTGGAGCATTGTAGCGTCGCCTCCGTCTCAACGTAGCTAGCACCGCTAGCTAATGCTCGGCAGCTAGCGAGYGGACTGGCGAAAAAAGAAAAAAAAATAAGTCCCTTCTTTGTGAAAGCTGTCCTTGTCCGGTGCCAAGTTTAAGTAAAGGTGCTTTTATTCCTCAGAGGAACGAGCTTAGCTTTCAGAAACAAGCAGCCGTCGCTCATTTCTCCAACAAAATGAAAACTTGACCCGGTTGGTGCTGTTTACATGTTCCTTTTAATGTAAGTTTTATCCCCTATAAAACTCAATAATGATCAGAAATCATAGTATTTTCGTGTGCAGTAGATGTTCCAGTTTATTATCAATGGCTCTGGAAGTCAACCAGGCCTATAATTAGGGCGATGTTAGTGGATTTGGTAGCATCCACAGCCCTATTTTAAAGAGACTACAATCGCCATTRTGGCTCCTGTGACTGGCAACTTCTGAGTTCAGCGAACGAACCGGAAAAGGGAGCGCTGTCGATCTCGGAGGTATCCTGGCAACGTCCAATCACATTCAAAGAGCCCACCYACTGTTTCTCGCGATGGTGCGACAGCGACGCAAAAACGACGAGGCTTGTCCCAAAGTTGCTCAACGTAAAAGCGCAAGGTTGTTACGACGAATTGAAAAAACAAATGAAGCACACATTTTAAACTTTGAATTATGTTTATAGGTTGTTATGTGGTATCGTTAATTCAGCAATGCACATCCGCACACATGTTCTGATCAGCCAAATCATTGTGACCACCAACAGGTGAAGTGAAAACACAGATTTGATGGATGATGTTACAGCACCAACACCAGACTACAGTTGTGTTTATTCAATAATATTACTATTAGACATCCTTAATATGCAACCAAACTGCACTTATTTCACATTTTTTGCCTTATTAGTTCAATGTTTTGGTGCCCAGATTAGTAGCTCAAACGTMATTTTGGGCATTTCTAGTTATTTTGTAGAGCAAAATTTAGTAGCACTAGTTGACAAGTGAATACTTTTGCCCTTACGGGTCAACACTTGAGACCCAGTAGTTGACATTTTGGGGTGGTTTATTTAGGGAGCATTTAATATAGTCAAGAAGTGTGGTTAAGTTAATTCATGCAGTCAACATTAATGTGCAACAAAAGTGACACAAAGGGATATAAAATAAATACCCAAATGGCTTGCCACATTCCTGACCTCTGTTCACCCCAGAGAACCCTGGGCTGCTGCAGAACTGAACCTCGATCAGTGATCATCACATTTGCTTTCAGGTCTAAAAATGGCTCAGTGAGTGTTGCACACCCAGAGAATACGCACAGCCAGAGGGGGCAGTGTGTTGCTTTGAGCAAAGTAACTGTAGGACACCTTGAGCTCTGCCATTTATGGAAGTTTTTTTTTGTTTGTTTCTTTTTCTTACCACTCATATAAAGACTGACTGGGATATCCACTTATTAAAACTGTGTTTCTTGATGGGAGTAGCCTCTTTCAGCAGTATAATGCAATCTGTCACATTGAAAAAAAAATGCTTCAACAAAACAGACCACAAAAATGTTGACGTTCGGCTTCTAAACCACAACATAACAAATGTCTGAATGTTAAACATATAATTAGTTTTGAGTACAGTAACTAAAGCTAAGAACTAAGATATTTCACCGGAAWAACCACCCTCATAAGCGCTTCYGTAGGTCATTCATTCCAACTGCAGTTAGACTGTAACACATCATGATGTTATGCTTGGACAATTCACCTACACTRMCATCACTAATATGCACCTCATTTATTTACTGTACTAYATGGTAYATATGCATAAAAATATATATGCATATGTGTTTATGTGTATGTGCATTAGTATTAGGGCTGCCACAAACGATTATTTTAATAATCGATTAATCACCGATTATTTATTCGATTAGTCGACTAATCAGATCATACGTTAATTGAA